TAACCTTAAATAAAGTTTTCAAATTTTCAATTTATTTATTATTTAAAAAAAAAATATGTATACAAGTTTTCTATATGATGTCCACCTTCGTTAGTTATAAAAACTATGAAATTAAACGATTTACTAATTTAATAATTTTAAAACGCGTTGGAAATGTGTGCGGCTTCAATAAAATATAATTATAATATAAATTAAGAAAAATGAAGGACGTAGAAAGAATTTTGATGAGTCGGTATTTTTTAATTATAAAAAATAGGGATTAAAATGAATTAGGGAAGAGATCGCTTTAGTAAAAATAACCTGTTGAATGCTGTCTCGGTTAAATACATAGGTATTGATATATTTTATACGAAACGTTATTACCTACATATAATATAATGTTTAAAGGCATGTAATATATTATTATATAAGTAGTGCCAATGGTTCACGCTTGTATCGTTATAATAATATACACTTAAGGTATACATACAATATAGGCTATATACAAATGAACGCCGTACGTACGAATTCCAATAAGCGATGATGGACCACGTTTGACCATCGCCATCTGTATTTTTTCTTAGGGTTTTACATTTTTTTCCTTTTTTTCTCCTGGTTTTTTTGGCAACCAATGAATCAACGGAGATTTATTGTTTCAGCCGGGCGATAGCTAGACTCACCCTTCTGTTCATATAATACGCGTATACTGCACCGACTGCAAAGGACGGGAGGTCGATTTCGGCCGATCAGTTTCGGTACCGTCGCTGCCACTACCAATGAATGTGCGGTGGCGTATGTATATATACGCGATGGCGGGCGGGCCGGGGATAGTATTTGCATGGAATATACATTAAGGGCCGCGCGCCGGCAGAGATAAATGTACCCCTTCGGCGAACGCTGTGGTGGTGGTGGGCACACCTCCCCACTCGTCCGTTCGCAGACAAATAGCTCCTGGTGGCGGCGCGCGCGTTCATGAATTAAACAAAGAAAACCGTCGACGACGACCGGGCTAGGGGGTAGAAAGGAGAATAAATTGGTTTTTTGGTTCTACAAAAACCGCCCGAAATATATATATGTATATAATTATATAAATATATCTGTGTGAACTCGAGATGAGGTGAATAATTGCGGGACTCGGTCGACTTTAATGGAATCGGTTTTAATTATTTCGCCACTGTTGGCGTCGGTAGCGTAACTGCATATTTATTATATATATACATTATACATATAATATATAAACGAATATACGATGCTGATAAGAAACCGCGAACGCTCCAATATACATATATAATAATATATAGCCTCGAAAGTTTAAAACGTTTTGCATATCGCTAAATTTGACTTGCCTAAAGAGTTTTATCCATTTTCGTTACTTTCTCAGGTCTCTTCCCTTGTCCGCCAAGACTATAATATATTTAATTTGTACTCTCGGCGACGGGTGAGTTTACACTCTATACAGCTCAACGTACACACCGCAGTACCTATAATACCATTTTACGACACAATGTGATTATTATTAGTTAAATTCCTACTCTTACCGCAATTGAAAATGGGGTGACTTTGATAATGAACATGTTTTTACTAAGGCAATAAAATCTGAAGCGATCAAATATTTTGTCAATCCCATAAATGCATGTATAATTTGTAGGTACTCAAAAGTTAGATGTAATTTTTCGTGGCTCAATCTCATTGAATGTCAGTATCTTTAATAGCGTCATGTTATGATGTGAAAATTATTAATTAATCGTATATGTTTTATGAATAAAAGTACCATTTACAATGTACAGAACCGAATTTATAAAAATTAACTGTTGATATTTTACTACAGTTTTATTTATAAATTATAACAAATTACTTTATTGCGTTTACTTCTTTATATCAATTATTAGTAACAAATTAATTAATTCAATACTAATGTTGTAACACTACAGCAAATATAAAAAGATAAATAATAATATCAATAATACCTATGAATTATTAATGACAGCAATATCATCTATGGTAGTCATTGCTATATGAACTGTCAATGTAATAGGTTGTAATTATGACATACGCGTACATATAAAAGTATAATAAGTAATAACTAATAAATATCAGTTTATACTTTTATCAAATTTCAAACAATTATTTTAAAATTTTAAAATATTATTTTACATGTTATTATTTTTGAGATTCAAATTTAAGTTAACCGGAACTATAGCACAAATACATACTTCATTAAGGAAATCCGTACGTACAAAAATTACATTAAAACACGATGCACTGTCTCTAAAATATTATCATGTTTATTTGTAATTAAATACGAATTCAAAATATAGGTACGTTGATTAAAGTTTAATTTAATCCAAACATAATATAATATGTACTATTTGTATGTTATAGTTAAATAGTTAACACATATTATATACCTACATACTACACTATTCAATCATCCATAAATAGATTTTGCTTTAAATAAAATATAATATATTTAATATTATCAAATTTGAAATTTGAATAACTTTTATCAAGAACAATAATATTACTACTTCAGCGTCTATAATTTAACTGTCTATTAAATTATTTTATTATTTATACATATATTTTTGTGGTTACATGTTTGAGGACTCGGTTAAGTGTAGGTATTATAATATATAATTAACTTATTTACTTAATTAGTTAATTAAAAACGAACATCACAGACTTAAGTCTGGGACACTGCAGGTATTCCAATTATAATGAAGAAAGACGGATAGAGATGGAGTGAGAGAATAACGTGTCGCGTGTCTGAATAATAACGAGCTTACAGGAGCAACAAGTATATACAGGCGGCGCAGCTGATTGCTGATAAATATGTGCGAAGTTGGAATTGAAAGAAAAAGACCAAATTATCGGTGAACCTCTTATTAGTTCATAGCAGTTATAATATTATTTATCTTATTATAATACTTTTAAACCTCTGATTATTTATATTTTGTACGCATAGTTGAAAACCACCCTCGTTTTTTTTTAATCCAAATGTTTCGTGACCTCTACCTTTAGTGCATATACATTATACTTTTTTTGGGTAGTGGAGTACACATTTTCCGACCGTGACCGAGGAAGTTTCCGGCTATACATTAAGTAGATTTATTGCCTAAGTCCATGCGACAGGTTAGAAAAGTGTCCTCGGTGAAAAGGAGAAAGAGAAAAAAAGAAAAATATCGTAGACGTCTCTGCAATTAAAATACATAATTTACTGTTTTTTTTTATATATACCTCATCATCATGCAGTATAGTTCCTATTCTTATTGTTACGATGGTTTTGACTACGGTTTATATTTGTGTAACAACGATTAACAAAGTAAATTTTAAAAAGGTCTTTAAATTAAAAAGTGATCCAAATAAAAAGATTATGTGTCGAGCGTGATGGAATGCGAAGTAAACGTATTAACCATAAATAACTCCATATTCACTTCGCTGACACCATATATTATCATATGACATGTCGCTTGTAAAACCGACTAGTAAATGTCTCCCATTAATATGACACATAAATGTCGACCGTTTTTTATTTATTTGGATACCTAAAAGCATTATGATGTGCGCAAGAAATCGTCAACGAAGTTTTTTTTTAATCGTTTATACCGTTGAACTTTTTTTCAAGTGACAAATAACAAGCACGATATGCCCTTTATGAATTCAAAATGTTATCTATACAACCGTGCAAAAATAACATTATAAAAAAGTCCTTAAAAAAAACATTTAATCTGAAGGAATATTATATGAAATAATATATATATTATTGTATACTGTAAAATAAACGCCTACAATTTTTACGATATTTCTTCAGAATGTATATTATCAGCATTATAAAAGAACATAATATAAATGATTAATATTGCCTGTTGAATTATTTTATATAAAAACTTCATTTTTCATTCCTCTAATTTACCTAATATTATATAAATATTTATTTATTACCTACTTCTTTATCTATTGAAGATTTTTAATAATAAATAAAATATAATATTTAGTTATTTCTTATTATACCGCTGCATCAATATACATTATATTGAACAAATCCGTTTTTCTGTAAGTAATCGATAATATTAAATTTTTAACCATTTGCCGTCACAACAGATTTAAATCCAAGGCCAGGCTATTGAAACTACCAATTTGAACAATGGTTCTTTCAGTTCACAGGTTTGATTTTTATTTCTTTCTTTGGCGAATAATAAAAAAAATCAGTATTGGATTTGTTTGCAAACATCGTGAACCCAGCAAGGTTCTGTCCTTAAGTGTTGAAAACAAATTTCACGGTTCGTTAGTGGGATACATTTAGTTTCGGATATAGATCATCCCCAGGCGACCGCGACAGCAGAACGAATTTTCGAAGTTATTTTCGTATATGTTTCCAATGTGGGTGGTTTTTATATTAATTGAATTATTCTAAAAAACAAAAAAAAAACAATTACTATATTGAGCACTGGTGTGGGCTTAGTCCTCGCACATAATATGTAGTTTTTTTATTTTAAATGTATTTTCTCAACGATACGGATGCGACAGCCTAAATGACAATAACGTCAAATGCAAATTGAAAATCCTCTTCGCGGGACACACTAAATAGTCGCAGTACAAAATATCATAAGATACAGGATTCTTAGGATTAGTGGGTAGGCTATAATAACGAAGTGTAAAAAAAATTAATGAATCCGTCCTAGGCCATTAGGCAAAAACGTCATTACGTGCCGTCTTTGTTTGTCTCTAAGGTACTTCAGCTAGACAGTGGACGTTCTGGCCATTGAAAATATACAAATTAAATGTGATTTCATTAATTAATTTTATAAATAATTTTTTTCCCGTCCGTCAAAACACATTTTATGATATTTTAGTCTTTAAATTAAAAACCTAATATTAGGATTTATTATGTCATAAAATAATATGATACATATAGGTCATCAGACACTTAGTATAGTGGTACTATGCAAAAAACGACCGCCGTGATTTAAATAAAATAAAATAATAACAAGAACTTACCCCTACGATATTTTTTGTTTCAGATCCAAAATTGACTGTGTCCGCGGAGCACTATATCGACGTACACGAAAAAGGTGAGTACACTTACATAACATTACTGTTACTGGCACCCCGTGTGTATGTATGTCCCATCATAAGACGATTTCGGGTCCTTTTCCCGGGAAAAAAAAAGAAAGGAAGGGACCGGCCATACTCCACATAAATGAGGCGGATTTTATGACCTAGTTTTTATGGGCCATGTCACATTTAACCATTGACTACACGGGCCACCTGGATGCTATATACACAGCGTATGCATGCACGGTTGCGCAACAACGTGTACATTGAATTCAAAAGAAACGTTCGTATCTGTATATGCGTCGCTGTTGTAGTTTTGTGTTCAACCTTCTTATACCGGTTCGGTTTTTCTTACCCCATCTAGCACTCTGCTGCAGCAGTGCGATGTACTATATAAGTACCAGTGCAACTACACGCGTATTCATTCGCACGCGACCCGATCGACTGATAACGGACAATAATTGTCTAATAGATTAGAGAGGCAGGTGCTATACAAGAGGAATAAACAATATTATATAGGTATCCTATACTAATGTAAATTATATTTAAAAAAAAAAGCATTCGTATTATGTACATGTATAACGGATCAATAGTAACAATAAAGTCTATTATACAAAATATTATTATCGCAATATTACGCAACTATAGGTAGGTACACAATTATTTAATATTGTCTTTTTCGAACGCTGTGGTTTAACTATAAGTAATAGTTTATGACAAACGGAACGATTTCATGAAATAAGAATTGATGTAAAGATAATATCATAAGCGCAAATGAGTTAGATTTAATCTCTCAATAATAAAAATAATAAAACTGATGACATTCTTATTCCTTACGTCATTACCAATTTCAATAGTATACCTGTTAATTTATTATTAAATATTATGAATTATATGCTATTAAGATGTGTAGCTTCTGTAACTAATTGTTAATTAATAACTAGTATCATACTATCATCATAAAAAAAGTTGTTTTAAAATCACTGAAGTTTTTTAAACACGTATTTATTTATATCATGTCGCTGAGACTTAATAGTAATGTGGTGTTGACTTGATCGTTTCATCACGTTATCGGCAAAACATTGTCGTATACAATATGTACCTCTAGTCTCTACGTATAATATACAATGCAATGTTCACGAACCAAATGTGTATTTCCTTTGCATAATCGACGACATTTTCAAATCAGCTCGTTTTCGTTGGTGAATGATTGCAGTGTGCTCACCCTAATACCGGTTTTTTTTCGATTCCCGAGGGTTCTTCCATCCCCTATCGCAGCTGCAAGTTATTTTTTAATGGCTTCTTGTCCACAGCCACCCCCCAAGGACAGCCCATTCGTTTGCCATACACAGTTGCCATGATCATATTTCGCGACCGATCGTCAATAGATCTACCGCCTTTTCCGCTTGCGGAGCGTATCATTTATAGTATATCGCGCCCGCCAAAAGTTATCAAAAGTTATTTTTTTCAAATATTTTTCATGATTGTGATATTTAAGTTTATTATTTAGTTTACTTTAGTTTTTATATTTAATATTATAGTGTTTGCTTTTCGAGTGATAATTAGTGTTGTGTATCTACAAACATACTGTCTTTTGGATAATTAATATAAATTTAGATGAATTTTTTCTGGAACTGAAGGTAATCCATAAAACATATTTGCAACTATTATTAATTATTAAGAAATACATTATGATATAAATGTTGTATTTAAATTATATTTTGAATAAAAATAACGATCGTTGATAAAAATGTGTAGTGAACAACATTTTAATAATTTTCAAACTTTTATTTATAATATTATGATTTTGATGAATATTATAGATTATTTAGTATTGACTAATATTTAATTAATCGATTAGTTAATCAATAAAATACTTAATTCTGAATACACATACTATAAAATATTATCTTATTAAAAATATTTCACAATCAATATTAAAGTTAAGCCATTTTTACTAATCAGAACACTACTAAACCAAAATTGAATACATAATTAATGATTTAAACAGACGAATAATAACATTTTGTTGATTAAATTATAAATATACATAAAAAAAAAATAGTTGTAATTAATATAACAACAACAACAATGGCTGTTGTCACCGATATTGTGTTTAGATCAATAAAAAATAAAAATTAATAACATTTTATTTTCGGTTGATAAAAAATGCATCGGGGTACTTAATTTGTAAAGCAAGTATGATTTATATATTCAATTCATATGGATAGTGTGATTGCAATGTTTTAAATCTGCAATTTGTATTTCTTACCAATTATTAGTAAGGTTGATAATTATTCAGTTTAATTTATTTTAGAAATGTACGGCATTTATAGTCGTTAGAATAGGTTATGTTTACTGATATTAACGAATAATGTTTAGATAGTATTATAAAAGTGAATAGAAATTAGAAAAGTTTTAAATGCAATGTGGAAGTTGAACATAATTTAATGCCGATCGATGGACGTTGTTTATATAAACGGTAATTATTTTGAACGCTCTCCAATATAGTGGACATAACAGTGATATATTTTAGAGTTAATACAAATACTGCACAACCTTTGAACTGCGGCTGTAGTAATGCTGGGCACCTTACACACTTCGGACCTATTCTGATCGACGGCCGTCAACTATTCGGCGTATTATAGGACGTGTATATATAATGTATTTCACCCCGTGTGTCCAGTGAAATGGAAAATGTGCGGCGGTTATCGATAGAACTTCGGCCGAGGGTAGTAAAAGGGTTATACTCGGCGGTAGCACTATATATCGGAGGGCCCGTGGAGCGTATATTAATCTTATGGCTCTGAGTGCCATTTGCTGCATAATATAGAGGCCACGATATCCTATACATATATATATATGTATGTATATAGGTATATACTGTACGTCGTGCACATATATGACTGGAGGTTTCCGTGATTAAATGTTGAATAATTTAAATCCTCTTCGAATATAATGTATATGTCCGTGTGCGTGCGTGTATGTATGTGTGCGTGCGTGTATGTATGTGTGTGTGTGTGTGTGTGTGGTGTATGGCGTGCATAAGCGTATAATCTGCGAGTTTCGGGAAGTCGGACGGGGCAACGCCGACAGCCGAATACGCAAGCGCACGTGTGTGAGTGTGTGCGTGTGAAAGGGTTAAGAGCTGAGAGGGAAAGGCCAATGGGATTTATTAGCCTGTAACACGTGTACGACGAAATCTTCTCCGCGTATACATATTTATAGTAGGCATACTACAGTTATACACGAGCTCCGCTCGTATATGTGTGTGCGTGTACGTGTGCTTTGGTGGCAGCAGTGGTTAGGATATATTCGCCTCGTACACACACAAATATAATAATATATAGTATATATACTACACACATACAATACAAATTATTTCAAACGCGCCGGATGTGTTTGATTTATATTCGTATGTGTATATATGTCGTATATACGTATTAATATAGGTAGGTATATATGGGGAGAGAACTTCAGGCGCACATGCGACAAACGCGAGGCCGACAATTGCAAGTTGCAATGAAGGAATTATAGTCATATTGGAAAATTCGGAAATCGTAATAATATTCCTTAATCGAGCGGCTGCGAAATGTGCATACATTTTATGTGACGCGTAAAAAGTACCTAAATATCCGATATTATACTTTTTTTTCAAAGCCAATATTCTTATTTGTTTGAAATTTGAACTCCTCTGAAATTGTATATTATTTAAGTGCTTAGTCCAGATACTTTTAGTTAATATCTTTCCCCCTACCACCACCACCCTCCAAAATCAATTTTATTACTCACCCGACGACTTATACCAATACCGATCGCATTATATACCTACAGACTACACTGTTGTAGCGCATTTCTTGTACATGATACAGGCATACACTCCTGCGAACGCATATTATAAATAATATATATATATAAATAAGTACGTAGGTATAAAACACATGTATATACATTCTTCGAGAGACGCCAAGGTCAGACGAAAAAAATATACTAACTCCCCAACGATTCCCACTGGCAGATAACACACCGTATATAATAATAATATTATAAACTCGTATATATGAAAACTGGTCCTAAAACACGACTGCATATCAGCCGGAGTATTTGTGTTGCATGTGTACATGTATTATACAGGAGGTACCGTGTGTGCGTGTGTGTGCTGCAGCAGAGGATTTGTCCGACGACGGTCCGACGACGAGGGGAAGGCGGGGAACGAAAGCCCCCTGCAGCGGGAGGTTGTGCAGGCCGCAGGTAGACGCGATAGGTCAAAAGAAAAAAAAACCACAAAGAGTATAGAGAAAGCCCTTTCTTTTCAAAGACCCATCGCGAGTCGTAACAGTGTTCGTCACGGGGATTCGTATATGATATTGCCGGTCGGAATTTCTTGGAGTAGGTACGACGCCGCAGAGTGAAAGAATCGCACGCGCCCGCTTGCCGCCCGCCACACACAATAACAATATCATATATTATTATACTGTTGGCACCGATATACATTGTATACGTCATTGTTTTGCTTATTTTTTCTTTCATTCTCTCGATTTGCGCCTGAAAAAAATTTTCGATTCTCGACACAGGTATATATGTATATATTGGCATTAGTATACTATGCGATTTTTATCGGAACCATTGCAGCGTTGATTAGAGCCTGTGCAGCAGTTTATATATTTTATACACAGCAACGCGCATACTTAATAAATAATAATATATAGTCTACACCGGTTTTTAAGAAACTATTGTAAGGTGACAATTTAAGCGTCTAAATTTACGTATAAATAGCTTAGACTTAACACCCACTGCTGCTCCTGAAGCAACTATACAGTAATTAACGTTTCCCTCCCCCTCCCAACACAATCATTCTTCCGTGTTAAGAATTTGTTAAAAGGTTTTATTCATATAGGTATATTGTGCTGCGCGTTTTCAAATAAAACGTTTCGCACTCAATGATATATTATCGTTATAATTCTAATTATTCGAGTACAAATACTTCTATTACAAACCAGTATGCTAATTACGATAA